TGTCCTATTATTAGTCTAGGACTGTCACGCCACCTGTGGTGTTTGTGATGGGAAAAGTCTTTGTTTATTTGATTATACATACTATATATTTTTTGTCTTGGAGGTAAAACTGTACACAGCAAATTAGATCCTCCATGAACTTTTAGGCAAATTGTTCCATGCCACTGGTTAGAATTTTTACAATGGGTCAGCCTTCCTCCTCTTTCCCTAATTTGTTCAATTTCCACATATGTAGTGTCCCTTCGCCTCCTTATCTTTTGTCTTAATGATCAAGTGCTGCTGCAGCAGGAATGTTGTCAGTGGGTGGCTTTAATAAACAGGAGCTTATTTCCGCACAATTTTTGAGTCTGAATTCAGGCTGCCAACGTTAGGCGAAGGCTTTCTCCATGCCTGGCTGTGGGGGATGGTCCTTGGTGCCTTTCTGCATCAGTGGCCTTGGTGCCCTTTGGAAATCTCCACTTGTCTTTGTATCTATCTTCTCCTAGGTCTGGGAGGTTCACTATACAGGGCCAAAGGGTCCACTTTGTCCTTCACTTTTGGTGGTAGTAGGACCCTCTCTTCTGCTTACTTGGTTAATCCTCTTTATAGCTCTGTAACAGCTGCATCATCTCCTGTCAACTTGAGCGAAGGGGTGGAGTCGAGCCTGTCAATCAGGCCACAAGGTAACACCCACCAAGAGGATACTGGGAACTTCCCCCTTTTCTCCTGGGAAGAGACCACATTCTCCCTGTTTCACATTCCTATTAAAAAGCCACATGGAGCTATGCTGATGCAGCCAGAGCCCTGCTGATGCACCCACTGCCATTGGATCCACAAGACTTTCCACCCACTGGCCTGTGATCTTCCTGCATTCAGCGTCATTGCATGTGCTTTGTGAGTCTGAAGAAGAATTCATGGGCTAATATTGGACTTATGGGCTAATATTAAACTTATGGACTTGATCTGGGCTGGGCTGCGATGTTGCATTTATGCATAATTACTTCTTGATATAATGTTCTCTCTTACATACATATATGAGTGTCTCTGGTCATCCCAGAGTAACACAAGCTCAAAAGAGATTGACTCAGGATAGAACTACATTCTATAGATTGCATCCTAGAGCTGTGCCCTGATTTAAGATGCTGCAGCCTACCCTAATTCCCTCACTGCTGACTGTGTAATGATGTCAGATCTCATCATGGAGAAGGATTATGTAAATACACAACAGCCAAATTACTGAGAACCTTGACCCAGCCAAGTGGACACATCTTTTGAGTGCACACAATTTAATCTCTAGCACTTTCTCATCTTCCCTACTGGGTAAATATTGGCCATCTGGTCCTCAATATTATTGCTCATACTTTCAGGGAGCACAATACTCACAGTGATGTAATTTATTTTAGAAGCCAATCTATTATATGACTAACATCTTCAGAAAGCCAATCTATTATATGACTAACATCTTCAATTCCAAGTGCAAAGGGTCCTGTAGATAGATAGTTCTGGGTGTTCCTCTAGTCTCTATTGATGCATCAGTTCCAGCCATTTTGAAGAATTTAAGTTTTGTTCTACATTTTTCTCCCATTCTATGCAGGGCCATCGGTGTGTCCCTGGTCAGAGCAGCAGGTCAGTAGTGGTCACAGGACACTGTCTATTTTCTGTCCTGTCAGGTTTGAAGAAGTTTGGGTTCAGGTGAGCTATGAGTCCCATGGCCTAGTTTGTTCTCTAGAGACCATTAGTTGCACCTTAAATGTTCGCTCCCAAGCTTTTCAAACTCCAGAAGCTACTCACTAAACTGGGAAGTAGAACACTATTTTTAGGAGCTATGTTATGTCAATTGAACAAGCTGTCCTTCAAGCCTCTTCACCAAGGAAACCAATCCTGTGAGTTGTTTGAATCTGTTAGGGGGGTCTCCATAACTGTGGCTACTATGAGGCTTGTTATTGGTGTACAAATAAAAGTGTATAGTTACATATGCATACAGATACACCTATGCCTCCCCATGCATTTGCTACCCTATGCCTTTGTTTGCACATAGATGCACCCATATCTATCTATGTAAACACTTACACGTGTTGAGGGACACTTTTAGATTGCTTTTACTGTTTCAAAATTGTACATGTAATTGCATTTACCAAACATGTCCTCTCTCTCCTGTACTTCTTCATGTATGCTTACCTGGGTCAAGTTGTGCTGATTTCACCCACAGTTGAGATTGTCTTTTCCATGACCCCAAATAGCAAATGTCTACTTTCTAGAAACCCATTTGCTGTCCCTGCAATTACTGGTAACCATCAAAGTACTTTGCTTTCTCTGCGTATAGCAACTCTTGACTTTTTATAATAGTGGAACCAGACAATGTTCGTCTATTTGTGATTGACTTCTTTCAGTCAGCATGATGTCCTCCAGATTTCTCCATGTGAAGGATGTCTCATAGACTCTTTATTCATTATAATTTCATAGTATTCCACTGTGTGTGTATCACACTTTCTTTTAATCCATTCATCTGTTGGTGGGCACTTAGGTTATTTCCATCATTTTGCTATAGTTATTAATAACACTGCGGTGAAGTATGCATATGCCTGGGGAAGGCACTACTTTTCTATTCTAGGATGCACAGTTAAGGGTGAGATTACTGGGTCTAAAGCACTTCTATTATTAACTATACCATTTTACAGATCCATCAGCTTGTATGAGAGTTCCCAGCCCCCCACAACCTGGCCAACATTTGCAGTTTTCTGTTTATTCATCATTGCCATCTTCCCGGAATGACATGGAATTTCATTACAGTTTTGATTGGCTTCCCTCTAATGGCTAATGATTGCAAGCATCTTTTCACATATTTGCTGCTGCTCAAATGTCCTCTTTGGTTAAGTGTCTGTTTATATGTCCCTTGCCTATTTGGGGGTTGGATCATTTGTCTTTTGATGGTAAAGCTTTTAAAAAGTTTTTAAAGCTATATTTTTGAGCTTAGACAGATGTGTTGTTACCAGAGGGTTTTTTTTATCCCCTGGAGTCAAGTCTTTTAATTAAGCCCAGCCATATTCTTCAGTTTTGTCGGTCTAGATTTTTCCTAACGTCATACTTTTTTGATTTGGCAAGTGTGATGAAAACTCTGAGATCTCATTTCTAAAAGCTGGTCATTTACAAACTGTGTTCTAATATCTGTACTGTGTAAAGATCTCTACTGCCCTGGAGAACGGAGGTCACATTCCCCCTGCTTGCAATCAAGGGTTCCAAATGATATGTTGGACTTGTGTAACATTTCTTAGGAAAAGCAGTGATGAACAAAGTTTGAGAACCATTGGGTGGGGCTGGCATACATTCGGAAAGACTTTCTTTCCTCCAGTACCCCAGCACGGAGAATTGTCTTGTTTCTGCCCCAAATGCAAGTCAACCTTAACCATGTTTAGAGCTGACTGCTTCCCTCAGAGCATCATGATTCTTCCAACATTATAAAAGTTTCGGTTACTGGGTAGTAGAATGATTGGATTAGTGGATGGGTGCTAGAGGATAGCTAGAAAAAATACAAGCTATTCATGCATTTACTTTTTCCTCGATAACCAGGCATATTAAAAATACCCTGCTTCCCCGAAAGTAAGACATCCCCCCAAAATAAGACCTACTTACAATTTCTCGCTTGCTGAAATGTAAGGCATCCCCCCGAAAATAAGACCTCCCCAAAAATAAGGCCCCCAAAAGCTACCATAATTCTGGACTCTGGACAGTAGCAGTGGGCACCACGGTGCAGCTCACTGTTGGGCCGCAGAGCAGCCAGAGCAGACAAGAAGTGCGAGGTCTCTTTTAATAAAACAACAATAAATGTGTACCATATTCTTCTTCATGGAAAAATAAGGCATCCCCTGAAAATAAGACCTAGCGCATCTTTGGGAGTAAAAATTAATATAAAACACTGTCTTATTTTCAGGGAAACTGGGTATAGTGTACTTCTTGCCACTTAGGACAGGAACCACACTTGACTATCTATCTCATAGGCACTTAGAATTACCATGAATTTTCTACTCCCTTTTTTCTGTATTCCTGGGCCAGATTCTCTTTGAGATCTAAGGATGTGGCAGCCAGTCAGACAGACAAGAGCATCTGCCCTGATGGACCAACTTTCCAGGTGGAGAAACCAAGCAGCAAACCCAGCAATGAGACAGATATCACATCAGTTGATGATACTTGGTGCGGAGAAGAAGGAGGGCCTGATGGGGTGAAGGAGGAGGCTGTGGATATTTAGGGTGAGAGCCTCTTGGTAGAGGAAGAACAAGAATAAATTCTTGACTCAAGAGCTGGGCTATCAGGATATTCTAGGAACCACTGCTCCCGTGAGGAGTAGAGCAGATGCTGATTGCTATGAGGTCAGAGGGCTGGGAAGGACTCGGGTGTTTGTTATCTTTTACTTTCAGAAGGAAAATCATTGGAGAACTTTAAACAGGTGACAGACATGATCTGACTTATGCCTTCAAAAGACCACTCTGACTTGAGTTCTCCTATGGAGCACCTGGTGGCTTTGAACTGCACACCCCTTTAGTTAGCAGCCCCAAATGTAACCCCCTAAGCCAAAAGGGTTTCTGTATTAGAAAGTGCATGTTTACAGATGTTAGAGAAAGTTCAGGTGGCTAGCCATTGGTTTCGCCTCTATGACCTTGTTTATGTTGAGCAATTGCCCTTCTCGTCCCATTTTAGTAAGTGCTTTTTGGTTTATTTTGAGAAGGGATCGTGACTTTTCTTAAATCCCTTTGCTGATGTACTTCTCTTAAGAATTGTATTAAAATGGATAACGGCACTAAGGTAACAGTTAACCTGAGAAGGTATGCTTTTACTTCAGGAGAGTTTGCACGCATAGAGTGCTCTGCACATGTCGGGATCCACCTTTCTTTGTTGTCCATTGGTTGGTCAGCAATGATTCACAACACCAAAAAAGCTGCAGAAGAAAAGGTTCTAATAGTCAATGTGCTCTCTTTTCTTAAAAAAAAAAATTTTTATTTAAAAAAATTTTTCTCCTTTTTTTTAAACAGGGGAGCATGTGAATGCAGTCCCCCACTACCACAAAGTATGCAGTCCAGCCGAGTTTCCTCGCATTTGGGGAAATCGCAGGGGTCAGCACACCCGGAGTGCAATGGACAAGCGTCGCCCTGGGTAAACCACCTCGTGGTCATGGTGTCTCCCCTGCCAGGTAAGTGTGCGCTCTCTTTTCTTAAACACTGTTTTCTCCATTCAAGTTTCAAAGACGCCCGCCTGTCACAAATGCATAATAGCCAAGCCATCTCCCCCAACAACCCCTTCTCCCCCCACCCCCAGCTCAATAAAGGCCTTTTCTAGCACAACCCTCTCTTGCTTTGTCAGTGATTTCTTCATGAAACAGGAGGCGCCGGTGGCTGAAAGCTGAAACCGATAAATGCAGCTTAGAAATATCCACCTTGCACATTTAAAGATGTACGTATTCCCATATCTGCGACAGATGCCCTCCCCTGACAAAACCATCTAGAGTTTTCATGAGAAACAACAGTTTTTTATAAACTAGGAAAACACCTAAATTTTGACATGATTGATAATAGGCTCATGGGAACATGGGGGTTCTGGGAAAAACAGAAGGTCTATAAATATAAACCTGTAGAGTTGTTTGGCCAAAATGCTGGAGACACTGAGAAACCACCAGCCCAATGGTAGTGCTCCTCGGGTGGTCTCTGACAGCAGGACAGGCAGGGACCTCTCCTACTGCGCTGCCACCCACTAGGTTTATTCGCCCACACGGAGAGCCCAGTGCTTCATGGGCATGCCCAGTGGGTCCTCCCCAAAGAATTGACTATGGCGCCTGTTGAAGCAAGTGATGTTAAGTAGTCACGTGTCCATAACCGTGTATCTGGTTCATTGCCTTTCCAAATCATTGTCGATTTGTGCATCGAGTTGGAGTCCTTCCATCTGATGTGGCATCAAATCATTTCTGTTTCTTTCAGGAGGGGGGTTGGCCGATGTTGGGATGACAGGAGCTGCCTACTTTGTAGAATTCCTTGAAGTACAGCCTTATTGAACCTAGTGACAAGAAGGCAAAATTAGTTTCATTTACATTTGGACATTCTAGCAACATTGACACCGAACTCTTCCATTGTGTGTGTGTGTGTGTGTGTGTGTGTGATTCATAAGAGGTTTCATGACAGCTAACAAGGGGTTAGGGTGGTGGTTCTCTTCATTATCTATTGAATAAACATCCATGAGCATGATAGATAAAGCTGAAAAATACTTACAAATCCACACATGGTGCATGCTCTAATGCCTTCCTCTGGAGAGTCCAGTGCAACATAAAATATATTCATTAGTGGTTGGCAAGGTTGCTTTTAAATGTGCATTTTGAACATCTCAGGCTCACCTAAGACAGGTGTCCTTTAGAGGGAGAAACAAGACTCGATTGAGTTTCTCAAGAAATCTGTACTGATGACATTCATAAAGGAATACGATATTACAGGACAGGTTAGAGCTCAGCTTTCGGAATGAAATCGCTCCCCAGGTGTTGCTTGTAGCTTTTTCAGTGGTTTTGACAGTGCTCGCAGCACATGCCAACGTGACAGAGGAGAGGCTCGGGCATTCCAGTCTTTGCACAGACACCCAAGGACTCACTGCTTCTCCTGATCTGCCCACTGCCTTGCTGAGCCTGCTCCTAACTTCCATCTTTGCAGCCAGGGCTGAGTCCTATGTATTACCCTCTGGGTGCAATTCCCCAGGGTTTGAAACTCAGTTTTCACTAAATAACTTTGGACCGAGAATCTCTGGGATTCTCAGAGCCTCAGAGTCACATGTCCTGTGGGGAGCAAGACCTTCTGAGACCTGCCTTATAAACCCAAGTTCCCCATCTGCCACCTTGGACTATTTTTTAAAACCTAGTCTAGCATCTGAACTCGAAATGTTGATTCCCCCACGCACCACCCACCTTAGGACTCTCTCAGAAGGTTCATATGAGCTAATGGCTCCCCGCCCACTTGACATTTTGCCCGTCACCTTCTATGTTTATTCCAAGGAACAAAAATATAACTCTCACTCTCTGACAGCATGAGAGACATTCTCTTGCTGTTGCTCTCCAGGAAAAATCTCATAATCTAACCAGAAAAAGCCTTGCTAAAAAATTAGACCAAATAGCATTTGTAAACTCCAAGGAAGGCATTTTTGTTCTGTGAAGAATTCCCAGCTGAACGTGTTAGGAATTTTATATATACTGATACCAGTTAGGCTTGGGCAGGGAAGGAAAGGCTGTGAACAGCTGGGTACCCTGTCAACTTTGTGTGCTCATTTACCCTAGTGGTGTTTACTGAGAAACTCGGAGCCTTCATATTTACAGGATGAAGGAGCAAAGTAGAAGAACGTTTATTTGCTAAAAGAACGATTATGGATAGCTAGATAACTCCTGTTTCATCATTTGGTAACTTCAAATGAAGTAAATCGAATTTGAGAATATATGTTTGGAGCTTGTGTTTGCCTTTTCTTTCTCATACATTATTCATACAGAAGCAAATTCCTTATACAATCAGTTTAGGAATTTACCTATTTGCCCAAGACTTTTTAAAAAATTTTGACTCATGATCTAAACCCATCAGGCATAAAAAAATATCCCATCTAGAGAAACACATATGACCGGCTCCTTTCGGGTTGTCAGGGAACTGCGAGGAAGCCAAAAGCCAATGTGATTCATTTGTGTTCAATACTCACAGTCATCAAGTTGATTCCAACTCATATAGCACAGTGAGTTGTATGTTGGGCTGCTAACCACAAGGTCTTCAGTTTGAAACCACCAGGTGCTCTACAGAAGAAAGATGAAACTTTCTACTCCCATAAAAGTTTACAGCCTCAGAAACCCACAGGGGAAGTTCTACCCTGTTCTATGGGGTTGCGAAGAGTCAGAATTGACTCAATGACAATGGGTTGAGAACTTTATTGCCTAAGGAGCCCTGGTGGAACTATTGGGAAGCTGGTTCCAGCAAGGTCCAAGGTTCAAACCCTCCAGCTGCTACTGGGAAGAACGATGAAGCTGTCTACTCTTGGAAAGACTTACAAAGCTTCCAAAACTAAGATGGAATCAACTTGATGGCAGTGGGTGGACACTTCATTGTCGAATGTACTCTTTCCTTTTAAGAATTAGATTAATGCCATGTCTGAAATTAGACTTTGGATGCTATAAATTTTATAGAAATAACCTCTTTCCTATCTTGAAAAATAAATTGGTGACCTCTAGAGACACTTGTTCATTTCATGAGCGCCAGGTATTAAGTGGAGATTGTAAAGTGATGTTTTTTCTGCACAATTTACAATCTCCCTTGATTGTAATGTCAGGAAAACGTTAGCCATAAACATAACTAGGTGTTAATACCTTACCGACTCTCTATAGTCTTGGGTAAATCACTTCATCTCTGAAACCTTCAATTTTTGATATGTATTAAAAAGAAATGTTGTGTAGTTTGAAGTGTTGTTTCCAATAGGATAGATGAAACAATGAGCAATGATTGGGGGCACAGTGCTTATTAAAAGGCAATCGTGAACTACATGGCTGCTTGAATATATTATCATTAAGAAAGAAATACTAAAATTACCCAACATTCTCAGAAAAAAGAGAAGGCTCAGATACATCTTATGTAGTCATGATCCCAAGCCTGACAAAGATATTGCCCCCCAAAAAGAGAGAAATAAAGGAAAAGGGGAAAAAATTAGCGACCTAATCAAATGTGAAATAGAATCTTGTAGTGCATAAATATAATAATATATCCATATGATATATGAAAATAAGCCAAGTGAGTCTTAGTCACAATATAAAATTAATTTAACTTTTGAAAATCAATCTAGGCAATTCTCCATAACAACTGAGTAGAGAAAAACACTATATGATCCTTTAAGTAAAAGTAGAAAAGCCCATCGACAAAATGGACCACTGTATTAGTCTGGATGCTTTAGAGAAACAAATCCACAGCAATTCAATATATAAGAGAGAGTTTTATGTAAAGGTTAAGTGCACATCAAGAAAATATCCCAACCCAGTGCTGCCCAAGCCCACCAGTCCAATATCAAGTCATTGTCCAACACCAATCCACAAAGTCCTCCTCCATCTCACAAAACAGAGGCAATGATGCTGACTGCAGGAGGAAAGCTGAGTCAGTGAATGTGTAAGCATTTCAGTGCTGGCAGGGGTCTCCACACGGCTGCTCCAGCACTCAGGGCTGCTTTGGGGTAGGTCCATGTGGCTTCTCCTCAGGGATGTCTTGCAGGAAGTGAGCCTTGCCAGCTGAAGCAGGGAACTGGCTAAGGCAGCTGCACCCTGGTCCAACCATCAGAAAGCAAGAGACCCGAGAACTAGAAAGGCGAGACTCACTGAGCCATTTATGCCTCCGCCCTTCAATTACCCCCCCATGTGTTTATTGGCCAGGTTGGCACAATAAACTAACTCAACCACCTTAGTTTGAAGCAAAGTAGGACCAGACAAGAACTTCAGTCCAATACAATGGATCCATGAAGAGCAGACACCGATGTCACAATTAACAGTGAACTGCTTTCACCCCAAGACTGAAGACAGGACAAGGACATCGAATCCTATCACTCTTTGTTGTTATTGTGTTGAAGGCTGTATCCCACATGAAAACACAAGAAAAAGAAATAGAAAGCGTACAGATTAGAAAGAACACAGCAACATCTTATTTACAGATGAAAAATCAATTTAGGAGAAACAGAGATGCATATTCATTTCACGAGTGCCATGCATAAAATGGAAAGTTGTAAGTTAAATTTCCTACACAATTCATAACTGGAGATATTGATTGCATAGACTATCCTGATGATTTTATGAAACAACCATGGGGATTATCGAACAACTTTTCAAGGTTACAGGATATAAACTTGATACACAAATTCGATGGAATGTTTATATTTTTCCATAAAGTTTTGAGAATATCTTTTTAAGATGATCTAAAATAACATGCTTAAGCATCAAATATTTAAGAATAACTCGAAGGCATAGAAAATCTCTATACTGGAAACATTGATCCATTGCTGAGTCATTAAATATTTAGTTATTATTGTATTGGAGGTTGTACCCAGTGCAAAGAAACAAGAAAGAGTTATAAGACTCAGATATAGAAACAGAGACCTAGTGAGACAGTGGTTAAGCACTCCCTGCTATCCAAAAGGCTGGTGGCTGTATCTCATGAGCT